CACCCCCCCCCCCCCCCACACACACACACACACTGACAATGTGCTCACTCACCCCATCCTTGCTGAACTTGTCCAGCAGCTTGCCCAGCTTCTTGTACTTGCTCTGCTTCATGTCGTACATCACGCCTGCATGGCAGCAGGCAGGCAGAGGCCGGCCGGCACAACCAGCATGTAACGCAGTGCTGCACCGCAGCTGCCAGCAGCCCCACGGGACCTCACGCGCCCTGCTGCTGCCCCAGGGCCCCAGCGCCCACCCTCTGGCTTGGCGGGGATCATGTGCTTTGTGTAGAAGTCGCCCGTTTGGATTGGCAGGTCTGCGCTCTTGAGGGAGTGCAGCCCTGCCAGCACAGCAGCCTCCAGAATGGCATCCATGTCCAGAGTGGCGCCGCCGCCGGCAGGCCCCGGGCCCGGCCCCGCTGCCCCCGCCGCTGCCTCCCCCGCCGCCGCTGCGGCATCCCTGCCTTGCGCTGCTGCAGCGCTGCTTCCCTCCGCCAGCTGCAGGCCGCCCAGCTGGTCGGCAGCCGCTGCTGCCGCCCCCTGCTCGCCATCTGCGGCTGCTGCTGCCGCAGCCCCCCCTTCTGCCGCGGCCTCGCCTTCCACAGGCACCACAGGCAGGATCCTGCTGGCCGTGAAGCCTTCGTTGGGCAGCGCCTTGTCTCCCATCTGCCACAGCAAGTCGCCGTAGGCATGCAGCAGCGTCCATCCCCGCCCCTTCATCCCTTCCCTCACCGCCTCAGCCTTGCTGAGAGCCATCTTGCCCACGGCAAAAGGGATGGGCTGGCCCGGAACCGACAGGCTGCGAGCGGAGCCGGCCAGGAAGTCGGGCAGGCCTCCCGCGGGTGCCAGCACACCCTGCAGGAACAGATCTGCATGAGGCCGCAGGCAGGCAGCGCGTAGCACGCCTCAGCAGCTTGAGGCACGGGAGGCTCATACGCATGATGGCTTGCCAGGTAGGCAAGCACCCAGCACAGCGGGGCTCCGGCAGCGCCAACCGACCCACCTGCGCCGCCTAGCACCTTGCCGCTCACTTCCGACCATGTGTGCAGCGTGGGCAGCAGCTGCGGCGCCACCGCCAGTGCATAGACCTGCGCCCGGTGCAAAAGGGCCCATGGGGGTGAGGCATCACGGCCTAGCGCCTCCAACCCCTCCATGCACTCCACCATAATGCATCCCAGAATCACAACACCCATGAACTGCTCCTCGGGACCCCACGGCAGTGCCATACCACTCCTCCGTCAACGTGACCCACCACCGTACACACGCGTGCCACCTCAAAGCACCCACCGTAGGCAGCAGGTTGCCCCGGCCATCCGGGTCAAAAAACAGCGGGTTGCCGCCGTCGAGGGAGTACAGGAGGCACCGGTTGCTCAGCTTGGTCTGCACCAGGCCGCCCTTGCCCGGCAGCAGCGCACCCAGCTGCTCCTCGTCCAGGCCGGGGAAGGCCTGCAGGCATGCACACGGGGTGGAGAAGGTGAGGGCGGTGGCATTGGTGAGGCAGCGGTGCGCTGCTGCGGGCAGCAGCGCTGGCGAGGCGCGCGTGCTCTGTGCGGGAGCAGGACGAATATCTACCTTCAGCACCGATCGCCGCAGCTCCTTGCCATCCTTGCCAGACAGCTGGTGGGTGGAGCTGATGCTGATGTTCTTCTTAAACATGCCCAGAGGCCTAACCTGCAACAGGGGAGGGCGCCCGCCGCTAGCAGCGCCCGTCGCTCTCGGCCGCCATGCAGCCGCCCACACGCCAGTGCAGCGCCATCGGCGACAAAGATAGTTTCCGAATGTGTCCGCAGAACGCTGATGCGCACCGGGAGTCACAGACAATGTGTAGTGATCAATGCTCGGGATGTAGACTGCGTGCTGCGTCCAGCGTGCTCACATACATCCAGCAACACTAGGGGGAGACATCAAGACATGCATGTGCCGCGGGTGATGCGTGAAATGCTCAGTGGCAAGGTTGTCCTGCAGGTGTACGGGGAAGCCCTGCCTACAGCCCCTGTTTCGCCGTATTCGCTGCATTCTACTGGTCCAGGCGATCAGGAAGTGCCAGCTCGACTGCCCCTCCCCCCGCACCTTGCCGCACTCGCAGCTCCTTCTGGAGAAACGCACGGCCTGCTCCAGGGGCTGATTCCTAGCGCGTAGCAGCGGCCAGTGAACCCCCAGCAGGGGTGGGGAAGCGCCGACCAGGAGTGACCCCCTGCCGTCGCCATTGCTCCCGCCCGCCACCCGCTGGCAGGCCCCACAAAGCCGGCAGCATGGCTAGGAAGAAGAAGGAGTGGGGAATAAAGTATGGCTGCCCTATCTACGGCATCGCCTGGCCGCCTGGGGAGTATGTCTATGTGTGCGGCGGCGGCGGGCACGGCATCGAAAACAAGTGAGCGGGCGGCGCAGGCGGCTGCTGCTTGCCTCGTGTGCTGTCGCTGTTGCCGCCTTCAGATGCCGCCCGCCCTGCCTGGTGGGTGCCGCCTGCCAAGCCTTGATGGCGCTGGCTGCCCCTCCCCGCACTCCCCTGCCTGCCAGGGTGGTGGTGCTGCGCTGTCAGGATGGCGTGCAGTCTGAGGAAGTAGCCAAGCTGAACACTGGCCAGGATGCAGCCTACCGCCTGCTCATGCACCCCTCGGGCCGCGCCCTGGTGTGCGGCATGAGCGTCGGCGGCCTGGAGCGCGTGGATTTGCAACCCGCCAGCGCCGGCAGCACCGAGCCGCCCAAGCTGGCGCTGTCGCAAGGTGGGCCGGGCCAGGGCTGCTGGGGTGCAGGGGGCTGCTTGTTGTGTCGCCTGAGACGGCCGGGGAGGGGCAGGGACCAGCAGGCAGCACGCATGCCCTGCTGAGCTGCTGCTGTTGGCACTGTGATAGCGCCGTGCAGTATGCTGGCCAGCTGGTGAGTTGTGCCGACGGGTGCACTGGCCGCGGATTTCAAGGTTTTGCTTGCCAGCCCAACCCGCCTGGTCTGCAGGAGACTTCAAGAAGCGCACGAAAGGCATCGGCCCCATCAAGGGCATGTCGTTCAGCGGCGACGGCCGGCTGCTGGCGCTGGGCGGCGAGGACGGGTGGATCGAGGTGTGGGAGTGGCCGGCCATGAAGCGCCTCAGGCGGTGGCAGGCCTCAGACAAGGCGGTCCGCAACGTCGACTTCAGCCCTGCCCACAACGACGGCGTGCTGTTCAGCTGCGACGAGGCGGGGGCGTGCCGCCTGTGGGACGCCGCCGCGGGCGAGGAGATTGCGCAGCTGGCGCCGCCGCCCGGTGGGTGCTTCCGCCTGGCGTGCCGGCCCTGTTGCTGCCTGCTGCTGTGGCCTGCACTCCAGCCATGCCCTGCTGGCCTGCGCTGGACTCCCCAGCAATGCTTGCTGCCCATTCCCGCCTGCATGCTGGCTGTGCTTGCCGCTGCCGCTGGTGCGACGCCCTCGCTCACGCCCTACGTGCTGCCTCTCGTGCTGCCGCTGGTGCAGACATGCCGCGGGCCACCTTCTTCCGCTGCAAGTCGGCCATCGATGAGGATGGCATCGTGCTGTACACCCCCATGAAGTGGAAGCGGGACGGCTGGCTTGTCAAGTGGCGGCAGGTGCTGGGCTCCTGCTGCTGGGCGGTGACCATGATGCGTGATGCTGGGAATGCCCGTGGCGTGCTGTGTTGACTTGCCATGCACGCATTTTGGCCTGATTATGAGGAGGGGCACAGGAGCGGGGCCCCGCAGCAGCAGCATGCGCCGGCATGGCTGGCCATCCACCCTGCGTGTGCTGGTGCGCCGCAGGACGCCGACGGCGGCATCCGCATGGACCGCCGCACCCGCAAGCCCGTGGCGCCCGCCCCCATCTGCGGCTTTGAGCTGTCGCGCAGCGGCGAGCTGATGGCGGCGGTGACCCCCGATGGTGCGTGTCCTGGCAGCGCTGGCGGTGCGGCTTCTGATCGAGGGCTCCACTGCCGCTGCACACCCAGCTGGCCCGGCCTGCGCCGGCGGCAGCGCCGCGCTCAGGCCCGGCGCCTGCCCTTGCTGCTGCCCTCGTCCACACGCCATGCCGGCTCTCGCTGGCGTGCCGCCGGTGTGGCCTCACCCGCCTGCCTGCCTGCCTGCCTGCCTGGCGCCCATGCCCTGCAGGCGACCAGGTCGTCATTGACTGCGAGACGCTGCGGGTGGTGAAGCACGTCAGGGCGGCGCACATGACCTTTGCCACTAGCGTGGCCTTCAGCCCTGACGAGCAGTTCATCATCTCCGGCTCCTCTGATGCCAGCGCCGTGCTGACGCGAGTGGGGCGGGCGCCGGGCGGCGGCGGCGCGGCCGGCCTGCTGGCGGCCCTGCTGGCCCTGCTGGTGGCGCTGGCGGCGGTGCTGGCGGGGCTGCTGCATCACCTGGCGCAGACGCGGCCGGACGACGTGCGGGAGCTGCTGGCGCCGGTGGCGCCCGCGCTGCGCACGGCGGCGGGCGCCACGTGGCTGCCGCCGCCGCTGCGAGACTGGCTGGCGCAGCTGACGTAGGGCAGCTGCACCCAACCAGCATTGAAAGACATTCTTTGGTGCTGCTTGTGTAACCCCTGTGCCCGCCGCCGCTCCCGCCAGCTGTGGGGGATGCCCGTTTCAGTGTTGCTTGAAGGATACCTCCTCCACCGTTATTCGGTGCTGCAAATCATCATTCAACGTATATACCCAAGGGGCGACACCTCCATCCCTCCCCAATGCCAGGTGGCCAGCGAGGCGCGCGGGCACAGTCCCACAGGCACGGCTGCCAGTCTTTCAATCACAAATTTACTGGCTCATTGACCCATCTAGGTGAGTGCCTGTTGTTGGCGGGGGCAGCAACACGCCTTGGCCCGCCGCGCAACCTGGGCGCTGGCTGCCTGCGTGCCGCCGCTTTCGATCGCCATGTCTGCTTGAAAAGCACAGCAAGCTGCCCCGCTTGAATGGCGTGGTCCTCTCCCACTTCTCCCCCGCGCCCCACGGCCCCCGCGGGCCCGCCCCACTAGCAGCCAACCGCACGAAATAGCTCCCATGTTGCACGAAACGACGGCACACGTGCCCCGCCGGGCTTGGCACCATACACATGTGCATGCCGCTGGCACCGACGTGCTTTGCCACCGGTGCCGCCCCCTTTGCAGGCACCCCGCCCAATTTCACTCAAACAGCCGCGATCACAGGCACAGGGTTCCTCGGATCAGCACAAACAGAAGAACAATGCGTTACCGCACCCTGCTTCTGGCGGTCTGCCTGTGGGCATGCCTCCCCGCCATCCGAGCGCAGGCGTTTTGCGAGGGTGCCGCCGAAGTTAGCACTGGCGCCCCTGGCATCTGGCTTGTGATCCCCGAGGTGTGTGGCTGCTGCAGGCCACCTACGCCTAGCCGCCAGCCCTCGCAATACTGCCTTCTTGACAGTCGCTGTACAGATTCCGTCGCTCTACTGCCGCACCCACCACCTGTGCATGCCCGCTGGCGCAGGAGGCTGTGCCCGAGGACGTGCTGAACGTCACCCTCCAGACCTTTGAGGCCAACTTTGTGGCAGGCATGTCAGACGCGGCAGATGCGCTGGAGCCCGATGAGCTCTGGGTGCCCTGCTCCCCCGACCAGCTCCAATACACTATCGAGGGCTGCCGCCAGGAGACCGGGGACGGCGGCGCAGAGTACCAGCTGCGCTTCAACCTGACCTGCGATCTGGGCGATCACCAGGACGGCGCAGAGTTCGAGGCGGCGGTGGCGGTGTCGGCGGCTGGCGAGTTTCAGGCACGCTGCTGCCGGTGCCTGCTCCCTGCCTGCCATACCTGCCTGCCTTCTTGCCACTGGGCCAGCAACCTGCGCCTGCTTGCTGGCTCCTCCTGCTGTGCAGATCAACATCACCGCTGTGGAGCTGCAAGTGGAGGGATCCCACACCGACGTGAGCCCGTGCCTGGACCCCAACTGCGAGGAATGCACCCCGCTCCTCGAGGGCACAGACCTGTCCAACATCACAACGCTGGAGGAGGTGGTGGAGGTGCAGCAGTGCGATGCGTGCGCGGCAAATTACACGCAGGTGAGACGCTGGCAGCCTGCGGGACTGCCTGCGCCTGCACCAGCAGGCTACCACCACCCAGCCTCGACAGGTGGCGGGCGGCAATGACGGGCCTCCCTTGCCCTCCCTGCCAAGCGGCGCAGGACGAGACGGGAGCCTGCGTCTCTGAGAACGGCGAGCCTGAGGAGGAGATCAGTATCCCAATGGGCGCGGCACTGGCGGAGAAACCCTCGGGCCAAGGTGCGGGGGTGCCCGCCTCCCTCATCGCACTGCCCCGACGACTGCCCGGCATGCCTGGATGTGCGCCAGTCACCACAAACTCCTCCTGCCGCACCCCTGGCCCTCCTTCACAGACTCATACTGCGGCGCACAGTTTTACATCAGCGGGACGGATGCCAGTGGCCGCATCATCTGCTCGCGGGTGCGTCCTCCTTGCCGCCCTCGTGTGCATGATGCTCGGCTTGCGGCTACCTGTTGCGTGCGTGCCAGCCAGCCAGCCAACACCAACCTTCCGTAGCCCACCGTGCCTCGCACCCGTGCTGCAGTGCACTCGCTTTGGCTGCAATTTCGACGGCGACTGTCGTGCCTGCAATGCTGATGAGCGGTTTCCAACCTGCACAAACGGCCAAGTGTGCTGGAAGAGCTGCGACACGGGTGAGGCTGGCCCTCGGCCATGTGGCACTCGCCGGCAGCCGCCCACTTTCCGCCCACCACCTGCACCCCTGTAGCTGCTTTGGCCACAAAGGGCAAGCCTCAAGCTCTGCCTTGCCTGACCTGCTGCCCTGCCATGCAACGGCATGCCTGCAGGCTACTTCTCAGACCTAAATGGAGGCTGCCGGAAGGTGAGCCCTGCGCCAGCGATGCGCCCCACCAGGCAGTGTGCCAGCACCGCGTCCCTGATATGACAAGCATGCTGCGCTGCTTCCACCCCCCTGTCTCATTGGCCGCGTTGCCCCCGCCCCATGTCCCTGCCGCAGTGCTCCAACTTCATCGGCAGATGCGTGTCCTGCTTCCGCTGTGCGGGGGGACAGGGATGTGAGTGCCCGGCAGCGCTGCTTGCACGGCTACCGCGAGCAGCCATGCCGGCCCTCTCCTGGCAGCTCCGCTGTCCCCAGGACGGCAGAGGGCCTTTCGCAGGGCAGGGCCCCCATTGCACTTGCAGCATGTGGTCGTATGTGTGGGGGCTGGCAGGCCGCTTGCCCCTGATGCCGCCGCTCCAGCCATCTACCCTGCTGAAGGTGCTGTGTCCCTGCCCTCCCGAGTGCAGGCGTCAACACCGGCGGCGGCAGCCTGTTCTGCAGCGTGTGCGAGACAGGGTACGTGAAGGCGGGGGATGGCAGCGGCCAGTGCGTGGCAGTCAACCACTGCGATGACACAATTGCGGGATGCGCCACCTGCATCGCCTGCCCCAAGCCAGGCATGGAGCAATGCCACGGCGGCAAGATGTGCACCAGCTGCAAGAAGGGCTTCGAGCCGTCTCGCGACGGCACCGCCAGGTGCAGGCAGGTGCCCCTGCAGTAGTTGCGACCTCTAGGATCGCGCTCGTTTTCAGTCTTCTTCCTCTCCCGTCTCAGAGGAGGCTCCAGCTCTCCTTCCACATGTTTCATCAATTTGCTTCACAGCTTACTAGGTGGTCGTCCAGAAACTTTTTGATCCCAAAATTGGGTGACTCGCCGAGGCGGTCGCTGTAAAGGCTTCGCTGCTCCACTCATGCCCGGTTCCCGTCCCGTTTCGGCGGGGAGTCTATGTTGCAAGCTAGTTCTTGCTTTACCAGACTTTAAGCCCACACAAGCAAGCATGCCTGCCTAGGCGCCGCCGCCGCTGCGCCTCCGCCACCCAGCCGGCCATGGGTGGGGTATCCCCCCTGCGCTCTCCAGCGCGCGTGCCGACGCCTCTTCCAGGTCATGGCCCGTCGCTGCGCCGAGTCCTGCCGAATGTTCATCCGGCTGCAGCTGAAATTGCGTGACAACTCGAGCGTCCCCGGTGCGCGTCATTTTGGCACCGGTGGGGAGGGTGAACATAAGCCTGCGCGCCCCCTCGTTTTCTGCAACACCCTGAGAGGGCTGTGACCTGCGCTTGCACAGCGCAACGCACCAGCACCGGGAGTCAATAGGCACTTGGGCCATCCCGCTGCACGCACCGCTGCGCCTTTTCCTCGATCGGAACGGCTTATCTCCTGCTTGGCGGTCGGGTGAGGGCGCTGGAACGAGCTGGAGTGGGGCAGGCCCACGTCCAGCGGCCAGCGGCCTTGCTGCCGCACTCCACGCCCCAAACCCAGCATCAAACCACGGCCCGAGGCGATCCCGGGCAGCCCACGAGCGCACACCTGCCAATGCTGCACCTGCCACACCTGCAGGATGCCATCCAGTTGTGGCCAGGCCGGCAATGGGTCCCGGCTCGGAAGGAGCGCCACCTGTGTGCTGCTGTTGTCGTTGCTGGCAGGTGAGCTCGATGCGGGGCCCCATGCCAGGCCGCTTGCCGGGCGTATCTCACTCCGCCGCCGCCGTCCTGCGCCGCGCGCCGCTGCCTGCCCATGCCTCTCCCCCGCCCATGCCGCAGCGCGCCAGGCGGCAGCCACCCCGGCCGCGTGCTCCCAGCTCGGCGAGGTGTGCAGCGTGACCCCCTCGCCACCCCCGCCACCGCCCGGACAGTGAGCGCCATGCCGCTGCTGCCGCCCCGCTGTGCTGCCGCCGCCGCCAGCCGCCTCTGCGCCGGCCTTGCTGTGCCCACACGACTCCCTCCACACCTACAGCTTGATACGGCCCGCTGCCTTTGCCCTCCCACCTCCACACCTGCTGGCCGGCCCCTCACCGCCGCCCTGCCTGCGCCCCTGCGCCTTCTGTGCAGGTGCGTGGCCGACGGCGGGACGTGGACGTTCAGGCCTGAGGTGGAGTGCTGCGCCACATATGCCTTTGGCAGCTACTGCGGGTGCGTCACGCAGGCGCCGCGCATGCGTGCTGCACAGCAACGTGCGCAGAAAGAAAGCGCAGGTGGATTTGGGAGTGGGTGCAGCTCTCCTCCTCGGGAATGGCCAAGCCCGCCGGCCTGCACCGTGCCGGCAGGCATGGCAGGCAGGCAGCAGTGCAGGCGGCGGCGCATGCCCACCTCCAACCACTACCACCCGCCTGCCGCCGCGTGCTGCAGCTGTGTGCCCGTGGGCGGCGAGGTGCAGTCTGATGCCGTCGAGTGCTGCTCCCGCACCCTCACCCTAGGCACCTCCACCTGCTCCTCGCCCTCCCCGCCGCCCAGC